GCGTGTTCTCGCCACCTCGTGAGGCCAATTCCCCCTACCCCCAGCGCACTGCCGCCCTAACGTGAGTTTGTTTATTTGCTTGAGCAACGGATGAAGTGAAGTTACCTGGTTTACTCAGGAGCTGTTCCCACGCGGCTGCATTGAACGCATGTATGCACATACAATGGGGAAGTCGTGTCTCTCTCCCCATCCCCCTCCCACACACACGCACGTACAGTCATCACCCAATGAGGTTACAACCGATCTTTCTGCGGCAGCGCTGTAAACTCTCTACTGTTTCTCATGCCACATGAGGCAGGATACGTCCCATACTTGAGCAACTTAAACGACTCATATTCTCCTTCTGCCATTGCTGGCAGCGACGCGTTATTTGCGGCAAGAGACCCCCCGCCCTCCTTGGTGTTTTTGTACTATTTGACAAGGCTCAACCCCACGTCGAACCACACGTGGGTGCAAAGTATGGCGATCCTCGAACGTGCCATCAGTTGAGCTGTCATTGAAGCGAGATGGAACTGTAAGCGATTTATCAGCTAGGGATGAGAGCCGGAGAGAAGATCTCATGTGCCTAGTTCTGTTTGCGTACCAGTCCTACATCCGGGCGTACATGGGGAACTCCAGAGAACTCAAAGCCCATCTTTTTTTTTTAATATCAGATGTTCTCAATCTTGGCCATGTTGCACAGAGCTTTGGCATTGACAAGAAGCTCAGTGAGGTCCGGGCGCAACTTTGGAGCTTTGTCAGGGAAGGCAGGAAGATCGCGAGAGAGTCGTCTTCCCTCACCACGCAAGAGGAGGGAAAGTGGAGCGATGACTTTCCAAGTCGGAGAAGACTGCAGGTGGAGGTACGTCATGACGATCGCTACCGAAGTATGGTTGCGCAGGAGCAGCGCAATGTGAAAGCCCAGTGCTGTTGAAAGGTGGAATCAAAACTTAACTGTTCCCGAGTGAAGGGAGAAGCTGCGCGCCAGAAGACACAAGGGCTCCGGACGCATCCACACTGTTTAATTACGTTTTACTAGATCCACTGAGGAGTCTGCTTTGGCGATTTGCTGCGCCTGTGACATTTCCAGTGTCGTTGCTTATTTCTGTTTCACAATGTGTTCCACGGTTGATGCTCAGCTT